TGTATATATAGTATGATTACATTATATAATCCATCCTCTACCTTGTTTTTTTCAAAAAAATGTTGCCATAGCTATTAAACATACTTGAATTGAGCTGAGGGTGGTGATCTGGAGTAGGCATTAGAGCTGCTTGTCCATTAGTTATATATATCTGTGTTACATTTGCTCATCTATCAGGAGCTGCTGTTGCCTTTGCTGGGAAGAGGCTGACAGTGTGTGCTGTCATAGCTTCTCATGCTGCTGTTGTTCCTCAGCCTTTGGCCCTTTTGCACCTTCATGCATTGTATGTCACTGCTGACACAGAGCTCTCTGTGTGTCTCTCTACTCAGAAGATAATCCACACTTTTTTTTTTTATTTCGAATATGCTTTGTACACTCACCACATTCTATTTATTTTCTGTCTGCCACTGTAACTGCAGCGACTAGATAATCTATGATTCCTTCTTGCACTGTAAGTCATATTGGCTTCTCAAGATCACTTAAGCTCTTAAAAACATGCCTCAGGATATCCGATCCCTTAAGTCAATAGTTCTCAAACTTTAGGGTTCATGTGAATCATCTGGTGAGTTTGTTAAAACATAGAGTTCTGGACCTACCCCCGAGAGTCAGATTCTACGGATCTGGGGTGAAACCTGAGATTCTTCATGTTTAACAAGTTCCCAGGAGATGGTGGACACTCCTGGTCTGTAGATCTGTCACTCTTTGATTAGCAAGTTTTGAGTATTCCCACTTGGTCATAGGATCTGTGGTCTCACTCATCATGTTCTGAGCCCACTGAAGGACTGTCCCTCTGGTGCCTTGCTTGAGCCCCCTGACCCACTGGAGTAGTCACTTTCCAGGCTTGCTGAGGGGATAACCCTCGAATGCATAGTCTGGCTCCCTGACTCATTGTTACATTTTCCTTTTAGTCTTGCTGATCTCTGGCTACACTGGCCAGTGAGCCTTTTCAGGCAACTGGCCTCACTCTCTCTGGCCTCAGTGGATTCTTCAGCCTTTGTGGATCCTTCAGTCCCACTCATCAGTTTTCTCACTGCTCTTGGAGTTCTTTGTCCTGCCTCTACTGCTTGTGGCAAAATAGGTCAAGAAAGACACCTTCCCCACCCCCACCTAATGAACAACTCATCCATGGCCTTATCTTTCCAACTGCCTTCTTAAAAAAAAAAAAAAGAAAATCAAAAACAACTCCGCAACTCCACTTTTTCTTATAGGCTGTGAGGGCACAGAACAAAGCAGAGTATTTGATATGAAATAACAGCAATTCACATTCAAGTAGCTGACATCCCAGTAAGCCAGGGGAAAAAACTAACACAAAAAAAGGAAACAAAAACAAGTAAGAAAAAAACAAAATGAAAACCACCTTTGCAGGTCTTTTAATTCCTTTACTTCTTTCCTGCACTACCTAATGTTGGTCCAACTCCACTCCAGTAGGGCTGATCTGCGATAATTATAAACTGAGATGGCTTGACAATGAGGCGAGCAGACTTCAGGCTCTTGCTTTCTGAAACTCCCCCGAATATGCGCCAGACTCTTGTGCCAAGGAACATGTCTATCATGACCTCTCTCTTTCCTTCAACAGTTTTTCTCCACACAGGCCGTTCTCCACTGCAGTGTTTCCCAAGTCTTTCCATCTTGATGTCTTTCCATTTCTTTTCAGCTCACAGCTGGAAATCTCATTTTTGTTTCTTTCTGGCAATTTTTCATTTCTTTCTATTTCTATTGTTATTTAACTGTGAAAAGTATTTCCTCTTGCAGAAAAAATGCCCATATGCTTTGTCTGAGCTGGCAACCTGCTGTTCAATATTTGCCGTAAGCTGTGTTGTCGTGTTTAATGTGCACCCTGAGATGTCAATAGCATTTCGTATATATGGAGGCAGAAACCCGTTTGACGTAATTTACTAGACCTCCTGTGGTTGGGGACCAAGTCACCTCATGAACCTCTCCCTTTGTAGGACGTCAGCAATTAAATGAGGCTAGCTCATTTTGTTTGTATTTTATCTCTGGACTTATAAGAGAGGAAAGCAGGAGGGAAAGGCTCATGGGAGATCTTTACAGTAGACTTGCTTTTCCTGACATGGTTTTTCTGAGAAGCAATATTCTGGTCTTCAAGACATTATTTTCTGGCTTTGCTTGCTTGCGGGATTTTGGCTTCTACTTTATGGCTTAACTGTCAGAATTGTAACTTGCAACCTGAGTATGTCTTAAATCATTCAAATGAAAGAATAAACTGGAATAAATCTAAATAAACACAATGAGGATAACCAGCAATCCATGTAATCTGAGGAGGCTTATCATAAATACTGGATGTCTGCCCACTAGAGGGGAGAAGGGACTTGGGAATGCAAAGCCAGCGTTCAGAAGGTTGGGAACCTGGGAACCTGTGTACCAATCAGGCAGAAAGCTGTCCTGCGGGTGGCTGTGACCATGGCTGCAGTCACACACCTGAGCTTCTTTCTGAGCCATATGTGCTCCACTTGAGTAACAACTCTATTGCTTCTGTGCCAAGCAAAGGTCAGGCAGACCCCTCCCTTCCTTAGCCAGGTGGTGCCTTCTCTGTGACCGGCAGACAATCCCTTCTACCTCTGCGGGAGGGGGAGACCAGTGCAGACAATATTTTCCAAATGTGGTGTTAGTTTATCCCCAAAGCAGACAAAGTGTGAGTCTATGGGGTCGGGGTGGGGGGCACAGCAAAGTAAGAATTTTATATTTCAAAGACTGTATTGAAGTATGGGAAGCATGGAAACGTTCTTGTTTTCCCTGACATTTATTTTATAGTTTAATCTTTAATTTGTATTTATGTATAAGAGAAGGAACCTGATAATATTTTCAGTGCTAGGGCCTACAAAAACTGTAATCTGGCTCTGGCTGAAGATTCTTTTGGTGAAAATATTCATCTTCTTAATTTCTTTTAATCTAATCTTCCGGGATGGGAGTCTCAAAGACAGTAAACAAGATAAGCAAAATAGGCCCAGGGAGTTTTGAGATCTGTGGCCATGCTCCGTCTAAAAGGGACAACTACTTAGCTCAAGGCAGTAGTCATGGAGAAAGGCATGCTCGATGTTACTAGATGCATTTTTCAAAAGATGAAAATCTGAATTTTTAAAAATGTGAAATAAGTTGATGCACAGCAATTTTAAAGCACTGGGGGAGCTAAACAAAGCATGATGTGGGGTTACCAGGACATATTCCTGCTTTTAGGATTAGGTCATTTTAATTCTAAAGAGCCTATAGGACACAGAAGGCTCAAAATATGTAAACTCTAGATCATTATTTGTTCTGAGAAGCTCAGGTGACAGTTTTGGTTTGACAAAGAGGACTCTCTTCAATTCCACCTAACAATTATTTATTGTTCTAGGCTAGAGTTGGAAGACACAAACACCATCAAAACACTGTCCTCACCTTTGAGGAGCTCATAGATTGGTAAGGGAAAAAAAGCATGTCAGTCAGTGAGTTCTGGAACAAACAGGGACCTCATCTTTCTGGTGGAAATCCCTTAAGTTGGTAAGTTTGAGATAATATGTTAAAGTGCTATGGATTTTATATAGACTTAACCTTAAATACCCTACAAAAAGTGTCATCTATCTTCTGGTTGCCCACAAAATGCTATAAAAAATCACCTATTTTAGTTTGGACATGGTTTTTGTTTTGTTTCCTTCATTTGATATCATTCGTTATCTTCTTTTTAAGCATATGGCTTTGTAATAAAGAATTTGGCCTCAGCGCAAAGAGAGGTCTGGTCTTTTCTGGAAGGTAACCTCTGTGTCCTTGGAACAGGAGTGTCTTTGTTGTCTATGGTGAGTCCCTTGGACCATAACAAGGATTTATGCTAATGAGACTCATTGAGAGCACTTGATAGTTTATGCTAAGGAGATGACTCAGGGTGGAGCCAGCCACCCCAACAGTCTTAGGGTGGGGACCGATCATGTCACATCTACCAGCCATATAATTAAAGGTTGGGCCTTTGAGTCACGTAATATTAGCCTGACCTCTGGGAAGAAGATGGGGTTGGAGGTTGAGCTCAACAACCTGGGTGATGATTTCGTCAATCATGCCCACATAACAAAATCCCAAACTCTGGACACAAACACTTGGGTGAGCATCCCTGGTTGGCAGTCCTCTTGCATCCATGCCAGGAAGTTAACATGTCCCTGAGGATGATAAAAGCTTCACATTTGGAACCCTTCCAGACTTTGTCCTATGTGCTTCTTCCTTTGGCTGGTTCTTATTTGTTCCTTTTCACTATAATAAAACTATAATCCTGAGTATAATACTTTCCTGAATTCTATGAGCTGTTCTAGTGAATTATTGAACCTGAGGGAGGCTGTGGGGATCCCTGAATTTGCCGCTGGTGTCTGAAGTGAGGGCAGTATTACAGAGATTCTTTTCTCAGACTTTGCAGTTTTGTAAATTCATTGCAGCTGGTGTCAGATGTGTTGGGTAGACTTGGCAGTTTGGAGGACTGAGATCTTAACCTGGAGTTTGGCTAACTCTGGGAAATGGCACACTTTTCACTTAGGGAGCACTAAACGATAATAAAAAGGAAAGATAAAGTCCGTGCTTAAAAGAAATTTAAAATCCCACTGATCAAACTGAATGGGCAGACTATGAACATGTTAGATAGAGACCAATCTTGAAGGAAGCTAAGTCGGATAAATACCCTATGAAGGCCACAAGGTTAAATGTTCATGTATGGGAAGAAACCTGACGCTATCTTCAGTTCTATATATGTAGAACAAGATGAGTTATAGGACAGTAGGGTGGTTATCAGAGAGGAAGGGGATGGGTGAACTATAGGGTGGCGGAAGGAGACTAGACTTTGGGAGGGGAGCACACAATGTAATATACAGATGATGAATTATAGAATCATATACCTGAAACTTATGTTATTAACCAATGCTATCCAATTAATTTAATTTTTTAAAAAGATGAGTTACAAGGAGGAATGAGACTGGAGGGCTGAGTAGGTGACTGAAGTTTCCTGGTAAACTCAGAAGCAAGTGACAGAGAGAAGGGAACAACTCTGTGAAGGGGAGTAAAATGTAACTGAGGTTGGTTTCTTTTCCCTGTGACAGAGGCTCTGAATAAATTTAAGTCCGAAATTACTTGAGCCCTAAATCTTACCCCAGCACTGTCTCCTCCCAAAGCCCTAGTTAAGAAAATCCAGACAACCCTTCTTGAAAACTGCATTTTTACATCTTCTCTGGCAGCTGGAGAATTAGTGATATTCTGTAGATTTGCCAAATTTTATCCCCAGAAATTAGGAAATAAGTCTTTTTTTCCTGGAATGCCCTCATCCATAGAGTCCAAGGACAGCCTCTTGGAGTTTTCTGTAGTAAAGGATCTTGTCAAGCATCTGATCCAACTTATCTAACATCCAGGACAGAGGAAGCCTCTTGGGTTCCCGTCCGGTTCTCATCAGTGCTGCTCGAATACCTCTCCTGAGAAGGAGCTCACTGTCTATCAAGGCAATCTACTTCGCTTCGGAACAGTTTTAATTTTTACAGAGTCCTTTCGTTTGTTAGATTAACTTTTTTTCTCCTGAAAATTTTTGCTCATCAGTGGTTCTAGTTTTATTTTTTGGAACAATCTACTAACAAGGGAAATGATGATGATAAACATTTATCCAACACCTAATATGATGCAGGCACAATAGCAAGAGCTCTACATATGTTATCTTCTTTAATTCTTAAAGCACCTCTATGAAAGAGTATTGTTATTATCCTTATCTTGCAGATAAAGAAACTGAGGCTTAGAGCTTAAGTTCCATGTATGAGCTAGGATGGGGCACAAGCATCTGAGCTGGGATGGGGTGTCATTTATTCAAACCTTTCGTGGACCAAACTTAATCACATTGAGTACCATATAGGACATATCTTTTACAGTGAGTGTTTTATAGCTTTTAATTTAAGACATGCTCATAATTCTAGTTATGCTGTATATTTGTATATTAATGTTATTTTATGCTTTCACTCTGATGCATAATAATGTGTACACACACACACACACACACACACACACACAAAGATTTTCAGAGCACTCCCCAAATTCCCGATATTGTGCCAATTGAAGTAGACATTGTGAACATCTTTTCATGGTTGTCTCTTAATTCAAATCTAATTGAGATTGAGCTTGATTTTACTTCTGTGTGTCACTATATATTTTCTGCCCTGTAATTTTGATTGAAAACATACATACTTCTGCTGTTACAAGTCATCTCTTCTGTCATACTGCATGTTTACCTGTGAACTGCTGCCCAGAGAGACCAGGGGTCAGTCCAATTCAATTAAATAATTAAAATATTCAAGAAAATCCAATCTATTACAAGAAAGAGTAATTTCCTTCTTGAAATACAATGTGTGCTGATTTATGATGGTATACAGTCATAGAAATACTGGCACGTTTTGAGAACTTACATAGCAAGAAAAAAACTCTCAAATTTTTTAATGTGAGTCCTAAAAGTTTTCTTTCTTAGTGTCACACATAATAACATTTCCTCTGTTTAATTATACATACAATATAGCCCAAACTGTGGAAATAAAGGGAATCAACTTACAGGCTGTCCAGGCTCATCTCCCCCGAGGATTCTGAAGCCAAATCCAGACTCCATCCTGCGAAGGTGAACATCCAGCTCCTTATAATCTGGACCTGGCATAAAGGAGACCCCATTGAGTAATGAATCCTGCCTTCACCCCACCTCTCAAGGGACTGAACACACCCATGATTAATTTTCTGAATGTGATTAATGAGAGTGCTGTTAGAGTTGGTAGGAAGCATAGAGAATAAAAAAAATATATATATGGCAACAGAAAGTAGGTATTTCAAAATTAGGTCATCTCTGAATTAACTGTGACCAGTTGAGAAATGATCATAGGCAGAAAGAGCACACACATTTTCTGGGTGAAAAAAAAACAAAATGAAACTGATGCCTCTATAATTCTTTATTTTCCTGAGAGCATTCAGATTATCCCCAAGAAGACTGGCTGTCACTTTGAAGATGTTCAGTCTGATCAGAACGATTGTTTTAGAAGTATGAGAGAACAGATGGCAACATCCCGAAACTACCTGGTAAAGTACTGCCTAGTAACTTCCTAATACCTGTTTATGACTTGCATCTAGTTTAGTGTGTGTGTGAGAGTAGAAGGGCATATAAACTTATGCCTAATGAAAGTTGCTTCTTTTACAATTGTAAAGATTAAAAAGTATAGAATTTAAACTTTTCTGTATTGAGGTTTGTTTTTAATTTTCTAACTCCTTTAGATTTTTTAGGAGTAGAAATTTGCCTAGGTCTAAGTGAACTCTTAACTCCCAAACATTTTAAAATGTGGAAGTCACCAGTAGATTAACTACTGACTTCACTACCTTATTCAAAATAAACTAGAAGAAGAATACTTTTCTGCAGTTAGCTGAAAGAATAGAAACATACTTAAAATAAGCTGGGAAACTCTCCTGAATGTCATTTTTTTTCCCAATTGTAGAATAAATAAACCAAAACTATAAGACATATTTTGATCGTTTAAAGAGAATATGATTTATGCTCATCTGCTGCCCCTGGCCCTTTGAACCTTCCTTAGGGGGAAAAGCTTCAATCATAACTGAGCTGTGTGTACTTTTACAGCCACTGGTGGGACATCAATGGATGATCAGCAACACTAGGGTAATGCTTATTAATGCCATTGTTCGCTTAAGAAATATTTAGTGATCTGGGCCTTAGTAGTTTAAAGGAGATATTAGAACGGATAGAAGAAAACATTAAGTTAAGCTCTCCTTGCTTAACCAAGATGGTTTTGAATTTGGGATGGGATCTCAGAGCCTTCTGGGACAGGAAGCTATGTCTGGACCACTTGGATATCTACTAGTAGTCATAATTGAGAGACAGACTCAATGAATGATGGCTTGGTGAGTCTTTTCCAGGCTCTATAGTAAGTGGGGCTGGTGCGACACAATAAACCAAGCACAATGGTACTGGACTTGCCTTCGTGCCCTCCAACTTGACTGCGTATTCTCAGTGATATACAAAAGGCAAGTCATTCGCTCCTGAAATGTAGGTATAAGTTTATTTTCTGTCTAGTGCTCTCAACAAAAAAAATTGAATCAGGTACACAATCAGGTACATATGTATATACATAGGTATTGCTCAAGACTCAATGAACTTTCATGTCCTTTTATGACAAGAGGCACCTATAATCAAAGTCTTTTTCATTCAGTGACTAATACAAAACTCAAAAAAGACTAACAAATTGGATCGCCACATCCATTAGTCATTCTTTATGAATTGTATAATCATTCATATTTTAAAGATAGAACTTAGAAGAAATCAATTACCATTAATAGCTAGAGTCTTGTGTTAAAAGGAAGATAAAAACTTTGTCCTACATTCTACAATTCACAATTGACTTTTGAACTAAGTTTATTTTGGGGTCTATGCTATATATGAAATCACATTTTGGTATGTGTGCTAAGCTTTTGGGTCTCTGAAGGCAGGTGGAGCAGTCCTGCAAAATCATAACAGGTACCTGTATTCCTCCCAAGGGAGGCAGAAAAGCCAGAGGAGATGGGAAGATGACATATAATGTTCAATCACTGTTCAGACCTCTAAAAGTTGGTTGTGATATGACTATTCACAGCAATCTCCCCTCTAGGTTACTTTAAGCTTAGAGGAATCTAGACCATATACATATAAAAAATACAAATGAGCATGACATACTTTTGAAGCTTAATAGAGCTAGCATATGCTTAAACAACAATTTCTATCTACCTTAAATATTCTCATTTTGCATCACTGGAATATGGTAAACAGGAAATTGTTCCTCCAGTAGCTTTAGCACCAATCCGTATTGCATGAGGAACTCTAAGAGGAGTTTATTGTGTGATCTATTTTATTTACTTCCCCCAAGTAAGACTTCCCCCAAGCAAATGCTGAAATTATGACAATCCCCTTAACGGAATTTGGGGTACACTAAAGTACAAGGGGATTGTCTTGTGTCAGAGAATGCTGTGATTCCTGGGGGAACTGGAAAGCTTTTCTTAAATGGATGACTCAGAACTTTTTATATTTTTTTTAGTAGAAAAATATAGATTTTAGCTCGTTAATTTTATTTAACTCTGAAGAACAGATTTGAGAGGGGCATTCATCTTCTTGCCCCTATTTTTTGGTATGCATTTTGGTGACATTATTATCTTCTGACTCTTGCTCTGACCACTCTGATTTCAAATATAGAGTAATATGTGCCAACCGGTCATCTTCGCCTTGCAATTTTCTAGGCAGAAGGTGGCCAGCTTCATAGTACACGAGTAAGTAAATAGAGGCAAAGAGACACCCATTAGAAAAGTGTGCTAGCGGACATGATTTATTTTTTTTCTTGGTTAATTTTGAACACAGAGGTTGCAGGGAATGGAAACTTTAGAGAAATAGTCAACTGGAAAAAAAGTTTAAAATCCTTGGGTCCGCTTTGCTAATTATATCCACAAAACCCTCTACTTCTTCAAAAGAGCCATGTCGCTTGTAATGATCAGTTTAACTTGTGTTTTTTTTTTTTTTTTTTTTTTTTTTTTTAGGGAAAATAAGAGCTTTTAGAAAGATAATTTTTCCTTGGTTTATCCACTACCCCACCCTTTGAGTCTGGCTTTAGAAAATAACTACAATTATATGCACAAAACTGAGAGACATTATTCTTTTTCTTTCCTGCTTTGTAGCTTTCTTGAAAAATGTTTCTGATACTTTCTTTTAGCTGCTTTTCTGGCCCAATGACACATTTCAAATGATTGCATCGCATTTTATGTCTTCTGTTAATTCAAGAACTTAAAGGGAAGAAATCCAAGGGCCAACTCTTCACCCTATTGTGACAGAATATAACTAACTATTGCTACCCCTCTCTCCCATTGGTTTGCAAACCATACATCTGTAAAGTTGCTAAATGAAGGGGTCTGGGGGACACATAGTGGGACATCACTTTAGATGTCACTCAACCATACTCCCAACCAACATTCTTTTTCTATCCTCTGCTTTCTTGTTTATTCTCTTTCTGTGATCTTTTTTTTACCTTTCTTTCTCCTTCGCCCTTTTTCCAGAACTGTCAGGATTACTTTCAAGTTTTTCTTGGTGCAACTCAAGAAGAAGCAGTGGTTGTGAAAAAATGGACTAAAGGGAGACAGAACACTTTTTGGACATTAGTGTTCAATGGCCAGTCATGGGCAGTATTGTTTCTTCCTTAGAAGCTGGGTCCCAGGATCCTTAGGCATTGTGAAATAAAGCATCTTAAGATACTCATCCAAGATGGAATTTTACATGATCACTGTGGCAAGCTACCAGATGGTATTTATAAATCCTGATTTATCCTGGACTCCCATTAATACTGAAAACCTTAACAGGTTTAAAAGTAGCAAATCATGGCCACATCCAGCTATCAGGACAACCTCCCTCATAACAAAGAAAAATAGAATTTCAAAGCTGATTCAAATTTTACACTAAGATTGCAGGAAGTCTTCACATTATATGTATACTTGGTCTAGATTTTGAGATATATCTCGTACACAGTTTTAGGGAAAAAGATGGGTGACTGAACAGACTGATTAATTTTATGAATGATTCAAACTTTGAAAATGCAAAAACCAGCATTTTTATGGATTAATATGGCGCATGGGATGCTGTTGTAAACATGTCAATTAAATTTTGGTACTTGAATCCCCTTTCATGTTTTAATTAAAACATAAGTACCACGAGCTTATTATCAGTTTGGCACAGAGAATGAATTCATTCAATTTTTCATGCTGGAAAGAGCATTAATTTTTTTGGCTGTTCTTTGTAAAGAGATCTAGGAAAGATAGTATGAGGAAGGGATCAGGAATTAAATAGTTTCTATTGCTAGAATCTAACATTACCAGATAAGTGGCTATCACATGTTCCCCTTCTCTTTATTTTTTTCCTTTATGCCTTTGGTAATGTGAATTTGGTCAGACTCATTTTAGCCATAGTAGAAGCCATCTCTCACTTAATTTGGTCCTTTCTCCCAGCCTTCAAATAAACTCAGATTTCCCCTTCACTTACTCCTCCATTTCTTTCTTGGAAGAGTAGTCCTTAGTGGAGATTTCTCTCCTTATCTTCACTCTCTCATCTGACTTACTCCTCCCAGCCGGGCTTCTGCTCTCTTGGCATTACTGAATTGCTCCTCTAAGATCATTGATGACATCCTAATGCCCAAATCAAATGGCCATTTTCTCTTTCCTCATTCTGGTTGGTTTTGGTGCCTCATTTGATACTGTTGATGGGTGCTTATGACTCCTGATTTCTTTTGTTTCTAAATAAGGAAAGGTCTCCTTTTGAATGAGATTTCTACTCTTGGTTTTCTTGATACTTCTTACCCTGGCTCTTGTCTTTGGGTGAAGCTGTTCATTCAAAGGTCCTGGCTATGGAGTCATTGTTTCTTGCTAACTTTCTTTCTTTATGATGGCATAATTATCTTTGTCTATAGTATTCCATTACGCACACTCTGTAGGAGTTGCTAAATTAATGTTTCTTGAATTGTTTTAAGATTCCAATCTAGTAGACCCTATAAGCCACAGCATTATTATACTATGGAGTTATCACTTGGCTTCATAATTACAATATTTAAGACTTCCTACTATTAATTTTGCCTCTGTACCTAAGGCAAAATTAAATGTGAGAAGTAGCTCAGGAGATCTATTTATTTTGGATGCAGTAATGATTTTCCAGAATATTTTGATAACTTGTGTGTACATTTAACAAAATATTTGGATTGGTGCTTTTCTTGAAACTCTGGATTGTATAGTAGTATAATATATTCAAACTATATTGTAACTTTCTCTTTTAAGTAATATATATTTTTTGAAAAGTGAAAATAGTATTTTGCACATATATCAAGGTAATCTAAGCTATCAGGTGGTTCTTTTTTTTCTTTTGTTTTTAAATAAAATACTTTCAGAAGGAGAAATTTTCAAGAAATGTGCTTACTGTTGCCAGTAAGATGAGATTTAGAATTTCATATTAAGTCCTATTTTCATTTTGCAACTGTAATTATTACTAGGTCTCATTTTTCCTCTAGGCATAAGATATTCTTTAAAATTATAAGTATTTTACAGTCAGGATATAAGAATAATCATGCTTTAAAAAATTTTAGACTGCTATAAACAAATACTTTAGACATTATTTGAGGATACAATGCTAAGCAATATCTTCCATATTTCCTACATATCCAAAAAATGACGTGGAAACTTACAGAATGAAATGCTCTCAAGCACATATATTCTCCAAGGGATGTTAGAACATGCTGAGATGGATAATGAGCTGTCATCATGCAAACACTCTAGAGATGTGTGCTGTGAGCGTACAGACTTGAAATAATACTATTATTATGAAATGCTCTTTTCTGCAATTGTTTCAGTGTTCTGGCTTTCAATCCAGTGGTCTAATCAGCTGTTCTAAGCACTTCCTAAGAGTAAAAAATCTGAATCTTCCTTTTCCTCTTTCATTTCTGTAATAACATTAAATATTTTAGCCTAAACGTTAAGTATTTTACAGAATGGTTAGGTCAAAAAAATTGTTTTCCTTTTAAGTAAATTAATTGATTATTACTAATAGTTCTCAAACTTCAAATTATAATATTCTACTCTAACTTAAAAACTATTGAAACATAGCATTTTATAATTGGCATAGTTTAAAAAGTTAAATTGACATAGCATTTAACTGATATGAAAATAATTTCATTCAATATTAGCAAAATTTCTAATAAGTTCTTTGGAAATGTCTAAATTGCAAATCTCTTGAGATACTCTAGCTTATCTATATATATCTAGTCCAGGTCTGTCCAATATAAACAAAATGTAAGCTACATAAGTAATTTAAAATTTTATAGTAGCCACATTTTCAAAAGCACAAATAAACAGGTACAATCAATTTTAATAATATATTTTTAATCTAACATATTTAAAATATTATTTAGCATTACTAAAAATAATTACCAAGATATACATTTCTGCATTTTTTTTGGGGGGTGGGTTGATGATACTGTCTTTGAAGTCTGGTGTGGATTTTAAACACATCTTATAGCACATTCAAATTCAGAGTAGCTACATTTCAAGTGCCCAGTAGCCACATGTGGCTAGAAGGTACTGTATTGGACAGAATGAATCTAGCCAGTCCAGTGGCTTTGTCTTTTTAAATTTATTAAAATTAATAAATGTTTTCTTTTGTCTTTTATTTGTTTCCTTGGCAGCCATTTAGGCCTGCCTTGATGAGACTTGCTTTCTATCTTAAATATTTGCTTATGTGAGTGAATAAAATTAGCACAGTGATTACATGCTAATAAACTGATAATACTCAGAAGAATGATTTGTTACACAAAATGGAAGACATCATTCAGAGGACTGTGAATACTGAAGAATACTTGCCAGAGGAATCCGTTCGAAAACTGGTCCTTGGTGGCACTTGTTCTGGATGGGAAAATGGGGAATTAAAGTTGAAATTCATTTATGGCATTTTAAAATTCATCTTTACTTTCTTTTTGTTGCTATTATAACTCACCCCCAATTTGTGTTCATGTTTGTTGATTTTTTTTCTCTAAAATCTGTGGAAGTTAGCAGACAGATTTACTATTTTATGTATACGAACATGTCTGTAAATGTATTTTGCATGCATGTAAAGTAGAAAAATCTGAATTCCTTTAGATCAAAATGGAAAAAAGATCACCATTTCCAAATATTAACCGTTGATTCTCATTATTAGAATGCTTTTTTGAAATTCAAGTCAATCCAGAACCCGAAATATACACACAGTAAATACAGGTCTTTTAAAATCATGCTATAATATCTGTCATCAAATATTGTAATGAAAAGTAGAAAATTCAATCAATAGTTGTGTTGATTTATGTATACCAGTCCAAATATTTTGATATTTGCTTTAGATAGTTAAAGTTATGTATAAGTAGTTGAGTTAAATTGGTTTATTTTCGCAATAGAAATCTTTCATGAGAATTGTGATGTAATCTATGCTACATGTAACATAAAAATTTGTGAATGTGAAGCATTCTGAAAAAATGGGTATTTTATCATTAAATTTAAAGAATTAAAATAAAACCAAATTATAATTACTTTCTAATTGAGCTTTATTTGTTTCAAATAAAGAGTTCTACACTATTCAACAATGAAAATGAAAATAGAAGCCTCCTGAGAGCGATGTTGAGGTGTAAGATTGCAGGCCTTCTATGTCTGACATGTGTTGCCTGCTGTACCCCTCACAGCTAGTCTCACTCATCGCAGGCAGGATGATCATCCCTGCCAGGCAATCTGTGTTTTCACAGTAAAGGCAAATTAGTTTTCTAGTAGAAGTGTTATTTTTTAAAACAACCTCCATGTTAGTGTGACTGCCTAGGCTTATGAATTGAGAAATATCCTTTCATCAGAAAGAGAAAGCTGTATCAGGTTTGGAGGACTGCTACCTCTAAACACTTCCATTAGTTGCAAAACTGGCATTTTATATTATCATAATTTCACTAGGACCTACTTGTCATCCAGCAATTACACTCAGTTTACTGCAGCCCTGATGGTCTCATATTTATTCATGAAAGTACTTTGGGTTACATTGTCAACTTATGCTACCAACAAAATGCTTTGACATACCAAATAACTTTCAATCAAGTACTGATTTAAGAGTTTACTTATCACATCCTCTCCTCTACCCCCTCTCCCACCCCCATTTTCCCCTGTCTGATTCCAGGAGTAATTAAGTTTTAAATTACTGAATTAAATAAATTTATAAGTTAGTGGATTGGATCTAATTTCTAAAATACATGAGAAAAATGTGTCCCCAACTTAATTTTTATTTTACTATCTATTTCTTAGCTCATAGCATAGTAACTTTCTCTATTAAAAGGAACCTGTTAGAAATATAAATATTATCATACTTATTTACAAAGCTACCCCAAAATACTATTTTTAAAGTTAGATTTCCAAATTAAAACCTACATATTAAATTTGGCAAAGACAGCTTAACTGGATTTACTGATCTTCTTTATCAATATATTATAACTGTAAAGTGACACATAACGTGATATATCAGAAACTCCAGCTGAAAAGCAAAACTTTTTCACCGATCAAACCAAAGCATAAATCATACTAAAGATAGCAATAACGATTTTCTCATGGGCAAAAGGCACAGGAAATTAACCTTCATAGTACAGTTGAGGACATTTTAAATGATTATGTTATTAAATTTTTTCTAGTCTTTTCTGTTTCTCATGCTAAAGTCACTGGTAAAAGTGTCTTAGTATTTACATATAATCTTATTTTAATATTTTACTAAAATAAGATCATTCCCCAGAGGACATTTGTGGGTGACACTTGATGGCCTAATGACATCAGCATTTCTGAGCAGATGAGGCCAGGGCTTGATCTAGCAGTGTTCACACGCGTCCCTAGGAAGTCCCGGTGGCCTTTCAGGATCACTTCATGGCTGCCTGCAGCTATGGCATCCATGAATTTATCAAAGCCTTTCTTAAACCTCTGGATATTTACAGTGTGACCATTCTGAGCATTATCACAAAGGCAGAGGAGACTGGAGACAGGTAGGTTCGTGCAGAGGCACTTGCACAGAAATCAGAGATCTGGTTCTGAGCACTATACATCTTGTGCCTCTACCTTGTGTGACGTGGCTCCCACAATCAGTTTCCATTTGGTTTCCAGTGCTGTGCAATGGTGTGTAGTATTTTTATACTACCCCATCTTTCCAAGTGATTCTGCTGTTAGGATGGGAGACAAAGCAAACTACAATCCTGCTCACTAATAACAAGGAAAGAGCAGCAGAAAAACCAGTAGTTTAGAAATACAATCACCCATTCGTGATTAGCTATGAATTATATGTGCATTGTAATATTGAACAAGAAAAGAATTTCACAATAAGCAATGAACAACAAAAGAGCAGGATGAAAGCCATAGACGTGGAAAACACAATTGTTCATTTTTGGCTGGCTATAAATTATAATTTCATGTTAAGAATAGTTCTAAAAAATAGTTTGCTCCTCCATTATCCTCTTTAATGGCCTGTGGTTACTTTCGATTGCTACCTTTGGCGCGGTACTCATTGCTTATTATAGGGTAATACTTTCTAAATTCTGGAAAGAAAAATTGATTGTGTGAGCTCCTTTTGAAGACATTCCAGAGGAATTTTTATTCTAAAGAGATTCTACTATAAGGCACATTACACCATATGGATCTCTGACATTTTTATGATCTTACATCTGAATGATATCTTACTGCAGGGGAGTATGGGCATGTTGTACCTCATAAATTATTTATTTATAATAACCAAGGTTCAATGTGAAGAGAAAAAAGTTTGGACAACTTCAGTCATAATTCAACTGGGGTTCATGCCACGGTACAGAAACGTGAGGGAAGAGATTCAGAAACAAGAATTGTTCTTCTCCGTCTCTTTCTGTTTTCATTTGCTTGTCTGCTCCAGCATCTGAGGCTGCAATGGGGAGTATGCCCAAGAAATGGCCCTCTGTGCTAGAATGATATGACATACCTGTAGAATAAATCTGGCTTAAAGAAAACCGGAGCAACAGGACAGGGCCTTATTCTTAAATCGACTTCATTAGCATGATCAAAACTTTATTTGTAAGGTTCTAAAGTGAAGCATACTCATTTTCTTTGGGAAGCACTTTGTGTTGCCTTGCTTGGAAATAAAAAGTGGAGCCATCTGTCTGTAATTAAGTAACTATAATTTTTTCTAGGGTTAGGAAGACATTTATTAAATCTGACTTATTCACTGTGATAAGAATGCGAACTTCATGACATAGTACTTCCAACGCATGAAGCCTAGATCTCTATTTTTTCCTACTTAGTTTGCCATGCTCTAGATTTGTACATGTGTATAATTTTCTGGGTATGGAGAGAGTTCACTGAGAATTTGTCTACCAAGACAATCTACCATATAAGTCTTAACTTCAACTTAGAGACAAAACAGGTATAAGCAAAAATTAGGTCTGCCAAATAAATTAATTTGAAAGAAATTATCTGAGTATGTATTAAAAATTTTATTTATTGCCTGTACATTTAGATATATGCTTTTCTTGGACAGTAATGATGTCTACTTCTTTAATAGATGTGGTAAAAGGAAGCCATATAATTTATCATTCAAATGAGGATAGCCAGGAGAGTGAAGGGTGAGCTATTAATAATTATGCCAGGACGCCACAGAGCAGGACCATTCTAGGCAAACTTTCAAGTGTAGTCACTTTAGGTAGTCTCATGGGTAAAGTAGGCCATTATAATAGTTTCTTATCATATCACAAATATGTGGTTGAAGCAATGATGTATTCACATAAAGAGTAAGAATGGCAGGAAGAGATGGGAGGGGAAAAGCAGTGAGGGCCTTTAAAAATAGGCTGTTTTTCAAGGGTAGAAATGGCATACATAGTTAATACTCAGAATGTTAGCATACAAACAGAAAATTCAAGCCCTTCCTCTTCTGATTGCAAAGAGAATTAAAATCCTTCTTTCATGAGATGAGTGAGAAAAGGGCAGAGGATGTAGAAGTGAAAAATGGCATGGCTTATTTCCCTTTGCTTTCAATTGAAAAAAATTAGGTTTGGTTCTATTTATTATTGTGTCCCTGGACTTCCTTTCTGAGAGAAAAAGCAATGGTATTTCCTTTTGCTTTCAATTTTAAAAAATGCAAGTAATAAGGGCAGCAAGAATCATTAACAGAGGCTATTATACAAAGAGAAAAGTGATGTTTATCTGAAAGTCTTGACTAGAGAAGGGGGTGGGGAGATTTCTGCTTTTTGTGGGAATTGCTAGTCATGACAGAGGGTCAATGCTTAAGTAGTTAACACGAAAACCCAGAAATCCCATTGGTTAAAACTTCTTTTGGCATTTTTGGGGGGCATAATTCTTCTTTTATGTATATAAGCTTTGAGTTTATATGGAATTAAGTTAATCAGAAAAAAAAGTTTTTTTGCAGAGTTCTCTAAGAACTAATTAGATTTTTTGATAATTAAAAGATATTTAACACAAGACATTCTCCGGGTTAAACATCATTTTTGCACATGGAACGAGAAATTATCAGCCTAATTGTCTAATTATATTGAAACTGTTGTCTATATTTACTGCGCAATTTTGTGTGTTAAAATATTGATATTATTTGCTGTGTTGTGTAATGCAGTTTCTCAGGAATCGTTTTCCTATGTTTCCCCAGTTTCACTGTGAGCTTCACGTGAGCAGAGATTCTTTCTTGTAGTTTTTCTCTTGTGGAATGCTCTGCAGAGTTCTAGACACATATTGAGTGTTTCATTCATTCTTGTTAACTGATGTGGAGCCTAGAGGTGCCATCTCTGGGCACTCTGCCTGATGCTCTGAAATCAGAGGCATGGCTCTGCCTGTGGGTGGAAGAATCGTCTTTCTCTTTCTTTAGTTCCACCTCATCATAAGAAGATCTCGTGGAGACAGGACATGTTCCTAGCTTTCCTCTATAAGCATGGACCTATCATATTCTGTTTCACCTGGCTCCAGTACCCTATGGTTGTCTTAGTTGGTTTAAAATCACTATATATTTTTTGCCAGGAATACATCTTTGTTAATATGTCCTGTGCCTGCACATTAAAAAATGCCAGCATAATCTAATTATGAGCCAAATGAAGCATAGCAGCATTTACATTATTTGATAAATTTTCACCATTTTCAGGGGACTGGTGACTTGAATCCAAATACTTCTAGACAGCCGTGATATAACAAACATTCTGTGGCTCTGTAGAGCAGACGCTTGTGGGTGGAGGTACATCCTTTTATTTGGTCACTGCAACCCAGTTTTGAATGTGAATGAAAAAAAAAAAAAAACCCTTTAGCCTTAGACCTGGTTGTAAGAGAGGATACCATGAGATCACTGTGGGCCAGGGAAAATGTCAGAGGGCTTGGTGTAGACAGCTTTGGTTAGGATTTCCCTCCATTCTTTCCCTTGTCTCACTGATTTTTTTTTCTCAGAAAAGAAGTTCGGGGACACAAAAATAAATAGAACCAAACCCCAAAATATAATGCATGTGATTAAAAGGCAGCCAGAAGAGGACTGGTTCACAGTCAGAATTTTGAATATGGGTCTTTTGTTTGGATACGTACATGTCATGATCATTAAAAAACAAACAAATGAACGAACGAACAAACAAACAAACAAACAAACAAACGTATTTAAAGATGATGAGAAATAGTCTGAGCTTTCTCCCAATCATTAAAAAAAATTTTTTTTTTTTTTTTTTTGGTATTGCTCTGAAATTTTAAATGAGGGAATGGAACTTTTTATACTCGGAAACCAGAAATGTATGGAGGGCAAAAGGCTGTTTTGTTCTGTCAAGATACTTACATGTTCACAAGTAGAGTGAACTGATCAGCTAGCCAGAGACCAGAGAAAGTGGCACCATGCTTTTTTGGTTTTCTTAATCTTCAGGGTAGAGCTTTCTTACCTTGACATGATTTTTGTGTTTCATTCACACTCCATTTAGTGTTATGAAATAACATGATAGAAAAGAATGGGAAAGAAAATGAGCTTGCCCTCTTTTGGCTTCCTAAGAATTGTGACCCTGAAAACATTACTGTGACCTGAGAAACATTAGAGAGCGCTGATGAAAACAAAGGGGGGGGGCACAATTAGAGCGGTGGCAACAGTGACACATTCAGGGCACTGATGGGGGCAGAGGGGGTTGGGTTGGGGAGTCAGGATGTTTGTTGTTAGTGCGGCTCAGGAGCCAAAAGGGAGAAAATGCTCCCAGAGGAAGACTGATAAAGAAAGTTAGGGGAGGTTAAGGGAGATTGGTTTGCTTGGTTTGTTACAGGTGAGCAGTGGAAAGGCAATGAGCAGAACAGCATTGCAACGGCTGGATAAAGAAATCAGAATTCTTTCAGGGTTGAAAAGAAGGTCATGCATAATTCCTGCTCAGAAACCGAGGCACAACAATATCAGATACCATAAAGAGAAGGCAGAATAAATAACAACGTTGTCTTTGTCCCGAATAATAAAGCCTTGCATTGAGTAGGATACTGCAAAAGGATGGAAGCAAATGACTAATGCAGGGACGAAAACAGGAAGAAGCATCTCTTGATGCTCCCTAAATGTAACCAAAAAACTAAATAAACCGAAGATGTGGGATGATATTTTAATCCCGCAAGGCGTTTCCACCTTCCGTGTTAGAACTACTACTGTATCTTGATCTCCATTTCTTTACACTTATTCTTATTTCCCAGTTAAATTTCCAAGAGCAGGTTATATTACTCATTTTTGGTATCTCCCCACAGTGTTGAGAGTATTCAATGATTATTGAAGCATAAAAAGTATTAAGAACTATGCTAAAATCTTTTCATTTTTTTCAATTTAATGAGCATTAACATCCTGAATTCATACCTTATATTATATAGCTAAAAAGACTACTTTATTTGTACTCTATCACAGCAAAGGCATTATAACTATACAATCCTTTAAAGACATTTCAGAAGAGGAAGAATGTAATACAGTAGCCCTAACATAGTCAATTATTTATAAAAAAAGAGGGGAAAGGGAGGTTCGTTTTGATGAAAATGATTTCTCAATGGCCTGCTGTCCTAACTATTTTATAAGTCAAAATTACTTTTACAAAAAGTTGTAGAGGATGGGGAAAAGGTATTATGACTACCTTTCCCTTTACCAGCTGGGTACATAATTCTCAGCCCCTGAGCTCATCAAAGAGTAAGCAGATTTGAGATCCTCTGAGATCACACACAATTTAAAACTCGCTATTCATGTTTCAAATGATAAAGTTGGGAAGAAGACACTGGTGGAACACCGAATCAAAGAAAATCAGCAGACCAGAAACTGGAGCATTGGGGACCAAATCATTCTCACTAGGCTAGGTTTCTTGATCCATTTACTCAGGTTCTTATTATACTGTGCCTTTCCTTCATAGATTATACATTCATGCCATTCAGATCCCTGTTCTCTAACATTTGGAAGAGATGGCCTGTTAGATGGTGGAAAGAGGTACAATGAATGATAATGCAATATTAAAAACTTTTGTTTTCTAATATTTATAAAGTGCAATGAAATAATTTTAGAGGACCTTCAAATAGGATGACAAGTACATACACGAGATTTTTTTAAATTTTACGACTGAACTTTCAAATAGGCGCTATTGCATTAAATGAGAAGCAGAAGTTTCAGGTACAAATGATGGGCACCTGGCCCTGTGCTGGTTTCGGAACCATTACTTTCACAATCGTGATTTGGAAGGACTTGGCTAACATTTACTCACGACCCTTAATTCTTCAGTGCTTGCATTCAAGGCTCTAAAAAAAAATCTAAGCTTCAAACTCAAAATCAGATTAAATATAAAAATCTCAAACATTTCTTCTTATTATTTGGTGACAGACAAACTAGCAACCTCCTTCACCCCCTCCCACCTCCCAAATACATTCCTGATTTTCCTCAGGGGCTTAGGGGGAACAAAAGTAGGAGATAAAATTTAAAACTGAAAGCTGTAAGCTTTTTAAAGAGTTGACAGATTTTTTTTTTTTAGAAAAGTTTAGATCAGCTGGCTTTATTTTTGAGATACTTTTAAACCACAGAACATAAATTCACACCAGATCATTTCAGTCTCAGTATAACTCCTGGCAGGGCTTCAGTTATTATTAATGTACCCTTGTCTTATGTGGCTTTCACTTACGCCTACTTTCATAAATGGCTCTAGATTTCTCGTAGAGCTCATATGGGTCAGGCTTTCTTGGGTCAAAGGCCTCTGTTGAGTCAGGAAAGGAACCCCTGTGAAGGGCAGGTGGGAAGGGCAGGTTCTGCGGTATGGCCGGAGCAGATAGACTCGTCTGAGGACTGCCTTGGTTCTCCCATCGGTCCATTATCTGGATTTTTTTAGAGAACAGAGAAAATAACTGACAAATTCTTTCTTGCTATTTCCTTTGTCACATACCACAACCCTCACCTTTAAGTGAGACTTTCTTGCCCTATAGACTTTTCTTCCATGAAACATTTTAAAACCTGGCATAACAGACTTGAGAGAAAAAAGATTCTATATCTATATAATAAAGTAACAGACTGTTATAAATACAAGCGATGCCTGAATTTTGAATGCAAACTTATATCACCCTGTCGCCTGTAGCTGGTAATCTTCAGCAAATCACTTAATCTCTCTGAGTCTGATTTTTATTTCCTATAAAATAAAGATAACATGTATCTCAAGATAATTTATGGGTAAATGCTTAGAAATATATGGTATTATGCCTTTTCTAATATGGTTCCAATACATTACACCATTTTTACTGAAACAGAAGGTAAAGTAGTCTGCATGTGTTCATCTGACACCTATGCATATCCCAACAATCTACTTACAGTTTCCTTTCATTACAATCACTTCCCTTACAGTTTACAGGTAATAATATAACCATCTGAGATTTAGGAAATGTTCAAAGTCTTCTGTGAAGTCTCATTTACTGTTGATCTGGTGTTTTTTTCCTCCCCAAAATACTGCTGCTGCTGTTGCTACCACCGTAATATATTAAAGATCTATAGGACACTTGCCAATATACCACGCCCTTCCACATACATTATCTTCTTTGATCTTCACTATAGCTTTGTTTATCAAGGAGAGAACCTTGATAAACACTGAGGTGATCACTGAGGTGATCACTGAGATCACCTCTTGGCACCACCAACTTCATCATTCAATGATCAACTGATTCTTCATTCAAACTTACCTTCTACTCTTCTGCTTTGAATGAACCTGCTTTGCGTAAAAATTAGATTAGGTTTCTGTCTTGCCTAAAATTCTGCATTGGGTCAGTATGGTCCTCAGGAGAAAGGCCGAACGCCCTCCTGGGACATAGGTGGCCCCTCACGACCCAGGCTCTGCTCATCTTTCTCATAACCACTGATGGTTTCTTCTTTCATTCCCTAGGATCCACCAGGTTCTCTCCTGCCTCAGAACCTTTGCATACTTTCTTAATTTCTCCTTCTATCTGCAAAGTTTACCCATTTTTCACTCTTCCATCTTCCTTCTGATTTTACCTGACTACTAGATTCGCAAGAGATATCTCCTCCTCTAGAAGGCTTGCTGACCATTCCTGATCTGTTCACATGTCCCTGCTAGGTGGACCCACAGCCCCCACTACCTACCCCTCTCATCACTTATCTCACCCGCTGTAATTACAAGCCTACCTCTGCCTCTTCAAACAGATCATGTTGGGGACAGAGGCTGCAGGGGATGCAGTTTTGCTCATTGTTGTATTGCCAACACATAATAAATACTCGGAAAATGTTAATTTAGTGAATGAATGAAACCATCAATAAAATATGATCACTTTTTTTTTTTCCTAAAACCAACTCGATACAAACTATTTTGAGCTTGGCATAATTATAACTTTCTGTCTTCTATTGCACTGTCCTGTTTTCGTTTTCATATAAGCTATATTTTGGTCAGAGCTTTGATGCCAGCTCTCACGTATCGATGATAAATATTGTAAAGCTGGAGAGGATGTGAACTGCCATGTGCTGTACAAGTCACTGTGTAACACAAAGTTCCCTGTGACCTCCTCACCTGCCTTGGACTGTGGCAGGGGTTGGGTGAGCCAGCAAATTAGGAAAGAAATGGGTCATTGAAGATTGGCGCTATGGTCTAAATGTTTGTATCCTCCCCCAAATTCATATGTTGAAATCCTATCACCAAAATGATGGTACTAAGAGGTGGGGCCTTTGTAAGTGATTGGGCCATGAGGCGGGGGGCCCTCTTGAATGAAATGAGTGTTCTTATAAAGGAGACCCTAGGGAACTCCCTAGTCCCTTCTGCCAGGTCAGGTTACAGATAAAAAAAAATGGCCATAGGGGAAGCAGGCTCTCATAAGACACTGAATCTGATGGTGCCTTAATCTTGGACTTCATAGCCTCCAGAACTGTGAGAAATAAATTTCTGTTGCATATAAGCCACCCAGTTTATAATATTTTGTTGTGGCAGTCTGAAGGGACTAAGACAACTGGCTTCATTTTCATTTGTTTTTTTTGTATATGCAACTGACCAAGATTTCATCTGAACAAAGGTTCTATAGCTAACAAAGATGAAAACCCCTAGATGAGTTCCATTCCCTAATATTGAACATAATCTCTAGGAATACAAAAAGGCCCAGCAGCTGTCAGCCGCAGACCCTGGGTCACAATCATAGAAAAAGAAATGCTTTTTTACATAATAATACATTGAGGGGAATAATTGGTAAATTTGCTTAGAGTTTTAGCTAATTTTCTGCTCAGTGGGCCTTTTGCTTCCATTTAGTAAAAATCTTTAGATATGCACTTCATAATTAATTTGATAGCAAATTTTATCTAGGAAGCCCTCTGGGTTCCTTTGGTCATCCATTCTTGGCTATGATGGGAAGATCCACAATTGTGGCTAGAGACATATTCTTTTTTTATTTTTCACTTTGGCTTTAGGCACCATGTGGAAGCATTCTGGCTGTGACTTTCCCCTTCTGTTTCCAAACATAAGATATGCAGTTCTAAAAAGTACATAAATTGGAAAGATGGTCTGAGTAGCTATGTGTCACATTTGTCATCACAGGGCTTCCGCGAATGCCTTGTTCTCTCTCCCATCTTCCACTGAGGATTATCCAGAACCCACATAGGCTTTGATGGTATATGTGTTGTTCACGTACAGTCATTGGAGCAAACACGCTTCAGGTGAAGTACTAGCATTTAAAAAAAAAAAATTCTTAAAACTACTGAACAAATAATGCTTTCGGCACTGTTTGGGAACATTTCTGTGGCAGATTGACAAATTCTACAATTTTGTTAGCAAAGAGATGGAGGAATTAGTCAAGAGTCCAGTTCATGCTTAGTAAAACATTCACAGCATCTTACTGTGACATTCATCAACCCTTGAGTCATTTTGTCAGGGTTTCTTAAAGGACTCTAGAGCAGAAAATCACTGTGCCCATGAAATTACTGAGACACTAGACTCAGAGCCCCACCCCACTATGCCCCAAATTGAGTTATTTGTCAGCTCCCTCCCAGAAGATCAGGGAGCAGCCACTGTTTTGGGGTCAGAGGTTACCCACTGCTCACCGGGCTGGGGAGATTATCTGACTGCATCTTTTGAAGGGTGCCCTCTGTTGACTCTCCCTTCTTTCTTAGACAGCCTGGTCTCTGGAATTTTGCTTTCCATCTGGGACTCTGTGCTTACTTTTTCCTCTCAGCCTTCATGAACCACCTAGATTCTGATCCTGTCCCTGTGCCCATGTCCAGGGCCTCACTTGCTTCACCTAGTGTCTTGCTGGCTGTGATCTGTTTAGAGTTGTACTACCTGCCAGGCATTTACCTCACAACAAGTCTTCTGATAGGGCCTCATCCAGTCCCCAGTGGTGTCCATACCTAGGCCAATATTTATAAACATCTTACTAGAGTAAGGAAAGTGGAAACAAAGACATTTTCTATATCCGGGAGAAGGCTTGTATCTCTGATGGCCTTAGTGAGTTAATGAATGCCTGACTGTATGAACAGACAATTACTTAAACATCAGTGGACAGAGTGGACATATAGTCCACAACAAGGCATCAAATAGTAAATTAACATAAACAGTTAATTTTTTAAACCCCATCTTCTGATTCTAAGGTGCAAACTGGGACTAGATGGCTTGTGAATAAGGCAAGTCCTCCCACAGTCCCATGAAATACTCTAATCTATAGAAGATGGGGTAGTGTAAACACACCAACTCAGTATTTTTAGGGCAGGACTAGGAGATGGAGGCATTTGGCTTGATTCTGTACTTGAAGAATGAACTTGGACTCTTTCCAGATGGAGATAATAACTTGCTATAATTAATGTATTACTTATTAAATGGGAAGTGACAATCTTGACATGGATTAGCTTAGAATGTGGATCAGTAGGACAGAAAAGGGTCAGGAAGTGACATGGGGCCGGGAGGAGTAGAGGTCTCACCCAAGATAACATTTCCTTATCCTGACTGAGGATGCCATCATTTCCTCTTAGAGGAGACAGTGCATAAATCCATACGCTGTGGGCATGTATTTATATATTTGTTTAAATGAATGGTTTAGCAAACTATGTTCATTTCATAGAGTGATTAATTATTTAAGTGTTTATACATGGGTCTGCTTTCTAGAATGACAGTTTATATTTTTGAGCTCAACCTGTAGACACACAGTTTTAAGCACCTTACATGGATCATAGACTCTTCACAATAACCGTTGAGAAGGGTATTATTATTGTTCCCATTTCACAGATGTAGAACTCGAGCTACTGCAAGCTTAAGCAGCTAGTTGAAGGTCACAGATCTAGAAGCAGATTTAGAACCCAGACAGTATGCCTTCAGAGCCTGTACCTTAAATTGCCTCTAATTTCAGTCCTTAGTTTGAAGAGTTTCTGATAACTACATGGAGGACATTAAATCAACAGTCTCCTATCTTCACTCAGCCTGTTACCTGGAAGTTCAATCTTTAGCTTTTATAGGGGCATATGGGTTCAGGATTAATTGTAAATTGAGTTCTATAAAACCTTTTTTGGAATTATTGACTATGGATGTAATTACTTTAATGACAGCAAATGCTGTAATTATGCCAAATGGCATAATTTGTGTAAATGTGGTACATATAAGGAAATCACGAAATTGCATAATTGTAGCGCCATGATGAGGTTGAAAGGTTCTTGTTAAATTAGATAAAGGTGTGTATAACCACAGAGAAGAGATTTCACTTGGGTGGTGAAAGGGAGGAATTATTTAGATTTTGGCCAAGATAAAAAAAATTTCACTTTAAATATTTTTTAAATATCTCTTTTCAAAATCATATCATCACTAAATGGTTTACTAAGCCCAAACAGTCTGGTTTACCCATCCAATATTCTCTGTGGACCAGATGAGCCAAATCCTAAATGAGTGACACCATCACTTCCTCATCTCCACCTCCTGGTTTGCTCATCTCTTTGAGAGAAACCTGGAGCTCAGGCATATTATGGGGCTCAATAATACCTTATTTTCACACTTCTAACCATTTTTGAGGCATGTTATTTAACTAAGCCCGTTATTATACTGGAAAAGTACATATACAAAATTATATTATCTTCATTTCTAAAATGAGAAAATCAAGCTGTTGAAGATTCTCTCAGTAAAAGAAATAAGAAAAGCATAAAATTAACCCAAGAATTTCCTACTCACTGGCCAGACTAGGGGCACTTTCATCTGAACTGCTTCCTGTCAGAGGAAAAAAAAAAAGAGAAGTAGGTGGAAGATGTGATTCTTTGAGTTTTTTTGGACTTGAATCACTTTGCTACAGCTCCCTTTTAGTCATGGGTTTTTCACATTCCAGTCAGGGTAGTGTCTTGTAACACATATAAAATGGAATCTGGGAAAACCAGTCCCAGCTCTTGGGACTTGGGCAACTACTAGTTTCAATCTAATTGCAAATAAAGATCACTCCTTGCTTTGGCTCACAAGAAGATTATTAAAATCCATCAGCCTCCTACGTGGGCATCAAAATTACAGGATGATTCATAAAGGAACTAAACCCAGAGAGGTTAGGTGATGGCAAAGGTCACCAGTAGCTGAAGAAGATTCAGAAGCATCACTTTGAGTGATTGTTGGGTTTGGTGGGAGAAAAAAAAAAATGTGTGTAATATATATATATATATATATATATATATATATATATATACACACACACACACACACATACATATGCATGTATGTATATTTGTAAATATATACACATATGTTTACACACACATTAAATGTAAATATAAATATATTAGAAATATATACAGAGTTAAATTTATTATGGATCAGATTTAATCTGCAGATCAAGACCTCTGGGCCTATAATTGCTTTGCTTCTAAAAATTCCACGTTATAAATTTAAATTCTAAGCTCTTAAGCAAAAATATCAAAAAGAGTCTCCTGATTCATTGAGACTTTCAGGGGCAGCTCGGGTAATTCATTCTTCTGAGGAAAAAAAAGAGGAACAATGGGAAGCTCCTTCTGATGCCAGCTCAGATATTGGATACCTTTCGGTTTCCATGAAAATCCTGGAAGCATGACTTTCCCTCCAGGTGCCTGCTGTCTCAAAAGTTTCCTTGCTCACTGTTTCTTTCTGCACCTTCCCCAGGCAGTTTTTCAGTGTATTAAGACACAGGCCTCGAAAGGGTCATTAACCAGTTTTCAGGAATTCCTGCAGTTTAGAAATGTTTGTTATAAAGACTATAGTATTTCTGACAGGGGAAAAAAAAGATTTCTAAAGCATTTTCAGTACACCATCCTGAATAGTGTTAATGTACATTTTGTAAGTATATTAAAAAACAGACAGTCTTGCCTTTATAACAAAGTAAGATGAGTTCAAGACAAAGGGACACAGAGGATTTGTTGTTTGAGGATTATGTTATCTCAAAGATGGAACAGATTTTGAGGTCATTCAGTTCAACTCTTGCTTAGTGGGATTGCAATAATAACTAGAAATAAAGTAAGAAGAAGAATTCCAACTTACAGGTTTTGGAGTTTTCCACGGAGAAAAGAAACCTGTAATAAAGAAAACAATATTTGAACTTTGAAAATATACCCCCCACCATTTATAATTGTATTATATAAAAATAATTGTGAGTCACTTTAAATTAGTTAACAGCAAACAATAATAACCACAAAAATTTCTGCCTGGCTTTATAGTTTTCTTCAAGGATCCCAAATGATTTCATTGCAACAATATTAATGGTTCTAAGAACATTTTCTTATTTGGTAGTTGAGGATTCTGAGCCACAGAGTAGGTGAGTAACTGTGTGTCAAATGGTCAGCCGCTTTACAAGAACTAAAATCAAGTCATCCTTAGGAATTTCTGTGGCACAGCCTTAGCTGGAAAATAAGAGAGGATAGGGAGAGGGGAAGAGGATGGGGAGGAGGAGGAGAAAAAGGAGGGGAGGGAGAAAGGGTGGGAGAGAGGTGAGAAGACTATAGATAGAATTTAGATTTTTAAAGGTTTACATTTTTAAAGGTAAATATCTTTGCTTAGTATTCATATAAGAATTCAATTCCATAAGAAGTAATTCTGCTTTATGTATCTGCTTTATGTAGTTAAAAAATCAATCAACAAGCCTTCATTAGTCCTACATTTAAAAATAATGTATGTACCTATATTATGAATCAGATTCTAGTCTAACTTTTATGGGAATATTCTCCCACTGAGATCTTCTCTAAAGCAGATATTTATTTAATTATCAGTGTTAGCACAATGTTTTGCATAAAGAAGCAGCTCGAAATGTTTGTTAATTGAATGAATCATGTATCATCAAAGACAGGTTTTTTCCAACTTATTGAGTCCTTTCTATTATCACAAATAATATGACAATTGGACTGACTCTGTGATTCAAGTGACTATTAAGGTAATTAAAAGTAAAGAACAGATTAATTCCCTTTTCTTTTTTCCTTTATTATTATTTTATGGTATGGTATCAATTTTAAAAAATAGTAATAAAAACAAACTTAAAAATAATGGGTAGTGGTGGTGGTGGTGAGCTGTCATATATTGGCCCTAGTGAGCCAAACATAATCCAGTGTACAAAACAAATTACTTTTTTTTTATATTGTATCTTCCCTCTTTAAACAGTTTTACTCATTGTAATGTTAGGTGGTATCTGATAAAACACCCAATAAAAATACTGAAAATATGTCATATACTATATTTATTATCTTTAAAACTGGGAATGGTACAAGGTGGGACTATTTGAAAATTATAACCCATTTATATGAAATATCTACAGAAATCTGGACACACCATTATCTAGGTGCTTAAACTATCCAACTCAGCATGGCATAGACAATAATTGCACCGCAATGCACCGTTGTGAAGAAGTAATGCTTCATTTTATGAGAAGAGTGAAAATACATAATCCACCATGTTTCTCAGCTTTCCTTGCAACTCAGAGTTAAATTTAAAACTCAAGTGTAATAACCATCTTACCTAAGGAGATTAGTAGAATTAGCCCACTTTTTTCTCACATACTCTGTACATTCTTACCTCTCTTTACAACTAATGAAAAAAATTCTGTTCAATGTATGGGTTGATTAATTTATTCATAAATATTTAATGATATCCTTTTTGGAAATAGAGTAAAAATTACAGATAAATATATACATTAATCTCTTTTGACTCATTTTATAAAATGACAATGAAACCAATTTGACCACTAATTATAAAGTAAACAAATTTGTAACCTAATTGGTGAATTAACCATCACTTTCTGTGAAAGATAAAATTTATTAGCTGTTTTATGGAATTGCCAGCAACACTTCAAGAAAAGGGGTCATTTATACATTCTAATAATGCCAAAACATTCAATATATCCTCTACTTTCTTTCTGTTGTCACCTTCGTGGAGTGCCCAAACAGATTTTGAGTGTTTACTGTTTAACATTTGCCAGGAGTTCCTTAGATTTTGATACAGATATACTGAAAATGGTTTCTCTATTATGGAGCTCTCATCTCCACATGGGATAGTATCTTAAAAGATGATTATTCCTCCTACGGAACATGTGTAATTTGATTTCTCAGCAGTCGTGGTGCAGAACTAAAATGAGCTAAGAGAGATACTGGTCAAAATCAGACAAGGAGAGAAAGATGTTTAATTTGACCACTTTTTATCATACGCACTTTGGCTTCCCATTATTTTATGGCTGTTTCATTCAGTCTAACCTCAGACCATTAGCAAGAGAGCACTTCTTTGCCGCTCCCATTATGTCAGTTTCTGGAATATTTTTAATGCCGAGTTGTGCTGCAGAGGCTTCAGTCTCTGAAGCAATAGTTGCTCTTTCTGAGTCATTGTCAAAAAGAATCTGCTTGCTGCCAAGCAAGTAATTTTAGGTAGTAAGAAATAGTATCAGAATAGATTTCTTTACATATAAATAACTTATGTGGCCCTTTATGTTTCTTTGGCAAATTATCAATCATGCTATAAACATTTAGATTAAGATGAATAGAAAACATCTATTTTAGATATACTCAGTTTGGGCCGATTAAGCCAGAAGGTCAAGTTTTCTACATGATTAAACTCCAATTTTCTGCTCAACTTCATTGGAAGAGTTACAGAAATACTGTAATAGTGTGGGTCAAACTATTATATATATATTATCAGTGTGTAATAATTTGTGTTGGGATGGCTCCCCTAGGAAACCTAGTATATTTCAATTAACATTTAAAAACCCCAAAACAAAATTAAAACCTTTTAAATCCTTATTTCTGTGGTTTTTCTTTTTCTGAGATCATTCTGGTTGGAGATAGATTACAGAAGCAAGATAGGCTTGGTTCACCGAGACCATCACTTTTGGGCTGCTCACCACTCAGCTTCATAGGGAAATAGAAACAGGGATACAGATATCTTTTTCTTAAGCCTTTCGGAGCTGACGGTCCTCTTTGTAAAACCAAATTCATAGAAAAAGAACTTTTTCTTTAAAATAATAGTAACAGTTCCTTTACGTTTTAGTTTATTTTTGGCCTTTATTTCTCCTACTTCTATAGAAAGTGGTATGATATAATTCCCTTATGGGATTAAAATTTCTTTATAATGACGCATGTTTTCCAGGCTGATCATTTACTGGTGTGTGCATGTGTACAAATGCAAACATGTTAATTAATCCTAACTCTTAAGACAACAAAAGTTGAAGACCGTAAAGTACAGGAACATAAAAGGAAAAAATAAAATGGAAATATTTAGATGCAGCTAATAAGAAAATTTAGACACATTTAATAAATAACACAAAACTGAATTAGGTCTCTAAACTCGATCTTTTTCAGAACCGGCAGTAAAACTAAAGTATATTTTAAATTCTGCACCTAAAAGCGCAGTGAGAGGGACAGAGAAACAGAAACACAGTGCAAATAGCTTAGATAAGAAATTCTCGTACTTGAAAATGGAAGGGGAGAGAAGACAGCATTGACTTCATGTTGAAATTTAAATTCTACATGTCAACTAATTATAATCTTTAATAAACTATAGAAATATGGTGGCCAGATAAACTATCATATACCCAGTTAAATTTAAATTTCAGATAAATAATGAATAATTTTTTAGTATAACTATGTCCTGTATACTGTATGAAACGTATATTACATAGGAGGTACTTACATTAAAAAAATTATTTGTTGTTTATATAAAATTAATTTAACTGGAAATTTTGTATTTTTATTTGCTAAACCTCATATAAGTAACATTTTATATGTCCTGGGCAACCACTTAAAAAAATACACACAATAGTAACAACTACTGCAGGTAATATCCATTCAATTCAGTAAAAACCCCAGAACATATATAATATGTCCTTTTCTTACAGCCTCTGCAATGTTCGATTGTCAGGAATCTTGCTTTAGAGAAAACTAAGGACATTCCGTTTGCTATACAGATCATTGGATTATGCTCATTGCCTATTCATCAGTGGCCTTGACTAAGGTCTCACCTAATGTGATGAAGAACTCTGTGTGGCTAACAGCATCACAAAGGACCATATTCAAGTTGCCTGATGGCTGGTACCATTGCCTTATCCCAAGAGAAATGTTCCACAGAATGTCTCTTTTCAGAACTTACTTCTTCTGACACGTGGTACCCAAAATGAAAGAATATCAATATATTTACAGAAGCTGTGAAGAGAGCTGCTTTCTAATGTGCATTTGTTTGATAACAGCTTTTTTTTAAAAAATTATTTACTTTCATAGGGCAACAGGTTGATGAACTTTCTTAAAATCACCCCAATTTGAATAAAGGATCAAAATACAATGAAGAGCAATTTAATCAGAGTCCCATTCTGATATCTTCAATTCGAAATAACACCAAGGCAATTTTTTCAGATTTCAAGGAATTTCCCCAAACAGAACTAAGTCTTTCAATATGCCTTTCTACTCCATTTAATATTTTGAACTCCCATTTGCAGAATGTGAAGTGGTTTCTTCTTCCATTGAAGTATTTGCTACAACATATGACTCTGGTTTTGAAGATTATCATTACAGTTTCATGTATTTTCTAGGGGATTCACAGTTACAAAAATGATGGAGATGCAGGAGAAACACTTTCTCTTTTTCTTTGAGCAAGAGAAAAGGAGTAGGAATAACTTGGAAATAAAGACCTATTTCACTGAAGATGTCCACACCCTGGGTTATTAAAAGCTGTGTGTTCTGTTTCATTTTTAAAAAAGAAAGAGACAATAATGTTAATGTATTTAACACTACCAAACTGTACACTGAAATACGGTTAATATGGCAAATTTTATGTTATGTATATTTTACCACAGTTAAAAAAAAATGAAGCAATAAATAAAAAGGAAAAAGAAGGAGAACAAAAGTATGTGCATATTGCATGAGGGTGAGAAATAATAAGAGGAAGTGAAAAAGAGAGAATTTTTTTCATAGTCCCTGTGGTGTCTTCCTGGAGGACAGGACACTGGCTTGGACACCTACGCAAATGCTTCCACCTGTTAAGTTATCTTTTCTTATAAAGGATTGTAAGCAATATCTCAAGGACTGTGAGAATCTCTTCTAATAAA